GATTCCCCTTGTTTCAATGATTCCTCTCAGTTACATTGCCCTTGATCAAGCCCCACCAGGCATCGTACACCCTCCTCATCGATTTTAGATCACTTGTTGTTCCTTTGTCCCAGGGTTTGTTGAGACCTCACTTCCTTTACCCTGTCTCTCCCTCTCCCGTGTCCCCCAGAACCGTCGGTCCTGTTGTTTTCTCCTCTGGGTGTTACATTCTTTAGAGCAAGCTGGCTCAAGCACTTGAGCCATTTCTCCCAAAGCTAGTAGGTTTTGACTTGGCACATTTTCTGCAGGGCCTTCTTTCTGCTGTTAGGAGCTGTTGTTGCTGACCCATAGTGTCCCGATGGACAACAGAACACCACCTTATCCTGCGGCGTTCTCAGAATTGTTCCTAGACTTGAGCCCATTTGTTGCAACCACTGTGTCAGTCCATCTTGTCAAGGGTCTTCCTCTTTTTCACTGCTCCTCTACTTTACCAAGCATGAGGGCCTTCTCCAGGGACTGGTCTCTCCTGATCACGCGTCCAAAGTACATGAGATGAAGTCCGCCATCCTTGACTGTAAGGGCCACTCTGGCTGACTTCTGAGATGTAACTGGTTTTGTTCTTTTGGCTGTCCATGGTGCTTTCAGTGTTCTTTGCCAATGCCATAGTTCAAAGGCGTCTATTATTCTTCCGTCTTCCTTATACATTGACCCATTTTCACATACATAGGAGGCGACTGATAATATCACGGCTTGATCAGGCTCACCTTAGTCCTCCAAGTAACACCCTTGCGTTTTCACCCTAACTCAGCACTGCGAGGTGGTAGAAAGAAAGCGCTGGCCAAATAGACGGTTCCACTGGCTTTGGTAACAATTTAGGTGGGCAGCATGGCCTTCACATTTGAGAGACAGTGATGCTTCCAATGGACACCCCACAAAGAGGTTTGCTCCCCTGACCTGCGAGGCTCAACTGCATATCCGTCTGTCACCCGCCAGGTTGTAATCCTCTCCTGTAACTGAGGTCCCAGACTGAGGAGATAGAATTGAAAGGCACAGGGTCAGAGTCCTGGCGGCCAGTGAGATAGGCATAGGGCCAGTCATCGCCAGGTCAGCAGCAGCTCCAACCTCACCAGATGAGGCTGCCTGCTCCTGTAGAGACGGACAGATTCAGACACCCAGCTCAGGTCACCTGGCATCGGGACGGACTCGGGAGCTGTGGAGATTTGGGTTCTAAGCGCAGTTCCATGACTGGTTGTATGAAAGGCAGAACACTGCGGAGTCGGTGTCCAGGTATGTGTTCATGTGCCCGGGCAGAGGGTTTGACATGGAGGGTAGGGGATGCCTCTGTGGTGGAATCACCGGACTTTCCCCATAGGCAGTTTTGGCTTTGGCCCTTGAACTTAGAAAGCTGAGCAGCCTGGAGACAGAGTTGGTGTTTGTCATCGGGCAGAGGGGTGGTCGCCACTCTTCATCCTGGACACTCGACCCCAGCTCCACTTCACAGGGACCCTGCTAGGCAGAGATGAACCCCCTAGAGTTTTCCAGACTGTGGCTGGCTCTGGACACAGCCAACCTCATCTTGATCTTGCCGAGTGGCTGGTGGGTGTGAATCGCCCGCCTTGCAGTTAGCAGTCCACACCACTCACTCTGTCACCCACTGTGCCACCAGAGCTCCTATGATGCCTACTGCCCCTTGCTCCTCTCGCATCTCTTCCACTTCAGAGCAGCCCAGGAGGGCAGAGGAGAACTGCTGCTAAGGGCTCCCAGGCTGTCAGCCTCTATGGAGGCAGACAGCCGCATCTTTCTTCTTCAAATGGGATTGCCCCGCCAGCCTTGTGTGTGTGTGTGTGTTTGTATATATATAATCCTGTGGAGTAGATATGAGCGAGCCCTGGTGACATAGGAGTTACACGTTGGGCTGCTAACCAAAAAGTCAGCAGTTGGAAACCACCCACGCTCTACTCCCGCCAAGAGTGACAGACAGCCTTGGAGCCCCAAGCTAGCTAGGAGTCAGCATTGACTTGAAGGCAGTGAGCGAGTGTGTGTACATGAAAACACATATATAACATATACGTAAAGATGGTGTTAGGCACCCTCATGGCATAGTGGCTCTGTGTTGGGCTGCTACCTGCCAGCAGTTCCAAACCACGAGCCATCCCCTGGGAGAAAGAGAAGGCTGTCTGCTCCAGTAGAGAGTGACAGTCTCGGAGCCGCCTTGGAGGCTCCCGGTAGCCGTTCTCCGGGGTTGCTGTGAGTCGGCGGTGAGTTTGGCGAGGGTTTACATCTATCACACTGCGCAGCGTCCTGATGACTGTGCTCTCGGGTCCAGCCTTTGAAGAGCGTGCCCTGCGCCTTCAGCGGTCACTGGATGAGAGCATGAAGCAGTTAGAATGTTGCTGTGTAGCAGACGCTATAAAGAGAAGCCATGGTGGGTCTTTGTGGGAGACTCGAGTTCAGTTCCTGGACGGTGTACCTTACACACAGCCACCGCTGCTCCATCAGTGGAAGCCTGTGTGTGGCTATGACACCAGACAGGGTCTAATTGCATTTCCAGAGTCAGGTGGACTAGGTAGAAAGGCCTGGCGACCAACTTCCCCAATTAACCAATAAAATGCCTGTGGGCCACAGTGGTCTGGCCAGGGCAGCGTGTTGTTGGGCAGGCTTGTGGTGTCCCTGAGTGGGGCCACCCAGGAGGTGGCAGCTAACAACCACACACCCTAAGGATCGGAGGGTGGGAGCAGAAGGTGTGGGGAAGGATCAGAGGTCGTCGGGAAGGTTGCCAAGGGAGCTGTGTTTGTGTAAATGGGAAACCGAGGTTGGTTTCTATGGGCAAAGAGGGCAGAGGGCTTCTCTGCGACCTCTCACAGACCCCCCTTGTCCCCCTTCTCGCTGCCCGGAATTGTGTGCACATGAGCTCCCAGTAGACGGGTTCCGGTTCAGTGGTCAGGAGGGGACAGCTGCGACATCCCTCCCTCGTTATCAGTGCCTGGAAAGACCACGTCCCAGTCCGCACGTTGGCCCTGCGGGCGCTGCCTTGTCACCGCCTCTTCTGGCAGACGCAGATGGCGGCCCGGCGGAGGTGGTGGCAGCAGCAGCATCTTTTCAGACGGACTCCTGGGCCTCTGTGGAGGGATTTTCTCTGCCTGCAGCTCCTGCGTCCACGCTCCCCCCAGGCTGCTCTTCAGGCCCAGAGTGATGAGGCCCCCTTGGACTGGGGAGGAGGGAGCTGGCTTGTAAAATGCCACTATCCCCAGATGACAGGAGCCCAGACCCCCGGCTGCTCTCTCTCCAGGTGGAATTATTTTTTCCTCTACGATGGCTCAAAGGTGAAGGAAGAAGGAGACCCGACGCGAGCGGGGATCTGCTACTTCTACCCTGCGCAGGTCAGTGTGCCGGGGCCCTGCTGCAGGTCACCGTGCTGCCGCATGGCACCTTACTGCCCCCTGCGCAGGCCCCTGCTGTGGAGTTGGGAGGGCAGCTCACGGCAGCTCTCCTGGGCCAACCCAGTCCCTTCAGGCGTCCCCTCCCTGTCTTGCTCAAACGCCCCTTGTTCTGTCCGTGTGTTCCCCCAGTGGTCCAGGCTGCCAGCTTCATCTAGCTTTCTTTGCTGCGCTTCCAGTTTGGGTTTTGCATTCTCTT